GGGGACTGCGAGAGAAGGCAGCACGACCAGCACGAGGCCTCGCCTTCGTTCCTTCGCTAGCTGCAGCATCGAGAGGGGCCGGAAGCAAACGTTGTCTGATGAGACGTGCCTGGTGCTCGACCTGCACCACGTGTCCTCTGAGCTTCGGGCACGCGAGCACCTGCGGCAACAACTCCTGCCAGGTGGCCAACAAAAACGCTGCCTGCTATGAGCAAGCCTTTGAAGCCTTCCACGACTTCGCTGCCAGAGATGTAATGATGCGCCTTGATGGCTGCAATACGAGAGTGGTGCCTACCCTGCTGCTCGAGGGTGAGTCCAGTCACCTGCCGCAAGTCAGAATTGGCACTGGCGATAGCAACCTCGAGAATCAACCTGTCCCACCAACAGCGGCACACCTCTTCGTTACCAGTGACGAAGGCCATGGAAACGTGAGACCCCCAAATGCCTACCAGGAGAGCTGGCAACTCCCCGCGTGGGACCGTTTGCTTAGCACATGGCAGGGGGCCGAAAAGACAACGAGAATCGTCACTCGGCCCTGGGCCGACTGCCGGTACTGCCAACACTTCCCGACGAAGTCGAAGATCATGTGTAATCGGGTCCACCCGAAGCGTCGCCGTGAAGATGCATGAGGACACTGATGCGTGCCTCCACCGAGAAAAATATCTGATCGGAATAAATAGCGTGGGTTGATGTCCAGCCTTCCCCGCTGCATTGTGGAATGGCAGCGGGGAGGTGAGAAGGGATGAGCCCTCGATACCAATAGCATTCGAGGCTGTCGCCCTGGATCAAACCTATGCGGCACAACTCTTGAGTTGACATGTAGACAGGAGGTCCCGAATGTGACTGCAGCCCCGAAGCCTGAGCTGGCTGTTCGCTGCCTCTGCGGTCTTGCTAGGCTCAGCAAAAGCGTCCAGCAGCCCCTCAGCTTTGCTGACATTCTGAAACGCGTCGCCATCGAACTTCCAGCCTTCGCGCCGACCCGACGCGTCCCCTGGCTGCTACCAGAGAGTGGGCCGAGGAATTTCCCTGCCTGCGCCTATGAGGCAGTGAAGGACTGCAGTGTGAGTGGCCTGCGGATGTCTGTGCGGCTCTTTGCTGGGGCCCCATGCCTCGAAAGTCAAGCACGATGCTGTGCCAACCTCTCGAGGAAGGACTGTGAAACCTAGATTGAAGGGGTCCCAGGACACACACAAATGAATACAAACAAATAAAAGGATTCCCCATCTGTTTCCCATATTTTCTGGGTTTGTGTCTTCCCCCCCACTTCCCATATGTTCCCATATCTTCGGGGGAATCGACGATTCATAGTGTCTGTGTTTTTTTTTCCCCTCCTGATAGATGCCCAAGCCAGACTTTCGACCACTCAGGCGAGGTGCGTGACCAGGGTCGGCGGCGGGCGCTCCGACGTGCAGGAGCGCGGCGAGGCAGCCGCCTCGCCTGTGCCCTCCAGCCACCGCGCCAAGGCGCCCCCGCAGGTGCAGGAGTCGGGAGGGCGAGGGAGGATCACGGAGGGGACGAGCAGGAGGTGAGAAGGGGGGGGGACGGGAGAAGGGGGAAGAAGTGGAGAGGGAGGAGGAAGAAGCGCAAGACGCTCCCGTCCGCCCTCACCTTCCACCGCTCGTCTCCTCGGGGCACGTCCTCTCTCTCGTCCTCCTCTTCCTCCCGCTCCGCCCCCCGCATCACCGACGAGGACGAAGAAGCGAGGCGGGAGGACCAGGAATGGAGGAGGGAGGGAGGGAGGGAGGGAGGGAGGGAGGAGGGACGGACGGGATGAGAGGCGGGGGGGGGGAGGGCAAGGGCCAGATGGACAGGGGAGGATGCGGCGAAGCGGTTAAGGGGATGGGATAAGACAAGGTTAGGACGGCGAGGGGAGGGGGGGGAACCGACGGGGAGGAGGAGAGGGACGAGAACGAGGAGCAGCGCCCACAGGAAGCCGCGCGTCGGGCCAGGGGCGCGGCCAGCGGGCAGCGAGGTGGCACAACACCTGCGCGCGCAGTCGACCACGGAGCGGCCATCGGGGATCTCCTGACCCGGGCCAATCCAGACCCAGGTCAGTCAGGCCTGCAAGATGCTGCAAAAATTCTTGCACCCGAGCCCAGGTCCATGGGAAGGAGCCTGCGCAAGCTCCTGCAGGATCCTGCACCCAAGCCCGGGTGTCAGTGCGACCCTGGCCCTGCAGGATTCCGCACAATCCGTCTGCATGGACCCCTGCCTTTTGAGCCCCGAATAGGAAACTGGGCGAGGGCTGCTAAAACCGTGGCTGCTAAAACGGCCCTCCCGGAAAGAAAAAACAACTTCCCGGAATGAGGCGCGGCACGGGAAACAGCCAACGGGCTTCTCCCCGGAAGGACGAAGACAACTTCCTGTGGAGGTCGATTTTAGCAGCCACGGATTCAGCAGCCCTCGCCCGGCTTCCGACCGAGACCAGAGGGAGCCGGAGCCCCCGGCGGGCACCCACGACGCCAGGCAGGCCGCGAGGCGTCGATTTTAGCAGCCACGGCTTTGGCAGCCCTCGCCCAGCTGCCGACCGAGACCAGAGGGAGCCGGAGCCCCCGGCGGGCACCCACGACACTAGGCAGGCCGCGAGGCGTGCCTGGCTCGACGCACTCCGCAGCGCGCGAGCGCCCGAGGGGCGCGCTGCCCCGCCCAGGAGTTGAGCAGTGGCGAAGCGTCCTGGCTTGCCTATAGGCCCACCCAGGAATGTTCTAAGAACCTTTTCGCGGTCTGCACGGCATGCTCTTAGCACATTTCTGGCCGAGACTGGCTTGTCTTAGCACATCGGGCTTATGCTCTAAGAACCTGGCTCTTGCTCTTAGAACATGTTTCGCACTCTGAGAACATGTCGTGGTAGGCCTCTAGGAATGCCGGGTCGCTTGGCCCCCGCTGGACGGGGGAACGCTTCCGTCCGGCGCGAGGACACCGCACTCAACTGAGCGATCGGCACGATGGCACGATGGGGCTGCGGTCGGGCACTTTTGCTCAGCGTGGCGATGCGGCGGCCCTGGTGGCACGCTAGCCCTGCGAGCGGATGGATTGGCCCTAAGCAAAGAGTCCTGACCGTACACGAAGAGTCCATGAGGGATCTCTGCCACTCTGCGTGGGGTCCACCCAGAGCCTCCAGAGCAAGTTCGAGCTCCGGCGCTGGGCGAGAGGATCCGGCCGTGTCCGTATGGCCGCGCGGGAAATTCATCCTGGCACGATGGTTCGCGGACAGACTGGGCGAGGTCCGTGCGGGTGGCGCCCCGCTCCGCGAGTGGTGCCTTTGAGGCAGTCCAGAGGCAACCTCCTCGCAAGATGCAGCAGCTCCCCCCCTGTCCACGGTGCCGCCGAGGTCAGGTCCCCTCGAGCTCGTCGAACGAGGCAACGGTCGGCCAACCGCCGTGCAGCTCATCCTGCACGGGCGACACGACTGGCTGGGGTGCTCGAGTGACGCGACGCCGCTCCCGCCCGCTCCAAGCATCCCTTAGTGCCCAAATCCACGGCAACGATCGCCATCCAGTCGAATTCCGACGACGACCATTGTGGGCGCCAGGCGCGACAGGAGCGCCCGACTGCAGGATGTGCCAGGCGCGTCAGGTGCGCCCAGTGCGCTACGTGAGCCAGGTGCGCTAGGTGCGCAAGATGAACCAGATACGCAGAGTGCGCCCCGTACGCCAAATGCACGCGCGCACCACGGGGTAGATCACCAGCTTTACCCTTTGCCCTCCCCTCTCTGAGTTCGGGGGCCTTCTACCCAGGTCAACCCAGACCCGGGTCAGTCAGGCCTTGCAGGGTCCTGCAGGATCCTGCAAAATCCTACAGGACCTTGCAGAATCCGGACAATGCAACCTTGTCTCTGCAGGATCCTGCAAGGCCTGGCGCTGTGATTGACCCGCGTTTGCATCGACGCCCGTCTCTTGATGCGGGACGGGAAAATGACCACAGCCACTGCTTCTTGTTTGCGCCGCCTTCCAGCCGGCCGAAAAAGAAGCAGTGGTTGTGGTCATTTCCTTGGTGCCAAGCTTAACGAAAATGGCCACAACCACTGCTTTGTTTCTGCTGGCTGGAAGGCGGCAACAAAAGAAAAGCAGTGGCTGTGGTCGTTTTCACGTCCCGTACTTGAGCCCCGAAGAGTTCCCTTCTTGGACGAGCCCTGCGCCTCTGGCCAAAGCGCACCCCACAAACGACGAACGCCGCCTTCGGCCGCGCAGTGTAGACGGTGCAGGGCCGCGTCGCGCCGACACGGACGAACACGACATGCCACGCTCAGCGTGCCCTGACCCCAATGCCGCCGACCACCCAGCTCGCCTTACAGTGCGGACGCGGCCGCAAGAAGCCCACGCAAGAAACCCAGCACTGAAAACCCGCGCGGGAGATGCATACGGGGGGGAACCCGAAGTCCCCTGAGCGCAGCAGTTTCTTCAACGGCCGCGGGGAGTCACCGCGCAGCGCGCGGAGCGAAGACAAGCCCAGGGCACCCTGACGAAAAGCATCTGGCTTCCTGATGCGCGCCTCCACTGCAACTTCGCGCCGCGCACCGCTCCGAGCGCGAATCTCAACGCACCGCCCGTCGTCGCAAGACCGGCCTCCGAGTGCACCCCGGCGACCTGCGGAGAGCCGGCAACCGAAGGCTACAGGTCCGCCCCAGGAGGCTGCTGGGGCCCCCCGCAGCCAGGGGCGCAGCGGACAAAACAGCCGCTCGGGCGTGCCTCATGGCGGCACGGACTCCAAGCAAACAGGAGGTAGGTCACCGCCACCCAAGTCGGGCTCGCGGCTCCGGGGCTGCGCGCTGCAGTGTGTGGGCAGCCACCCGTGTTCACACCACTGCGCCATGTGGGCCAACATGGCAACAAGAAATGAGGAGGAATTAGTTCGGAAGAGGAGCACCAGCATTACGAATGTCAGCCATCAACATGAGCATGAACATGACCGTGAACATCAACAAAGCAGGGGGAGAACGCGCGCGGCCCCTGCCTCGGGATGAGGGAACTCCACAAAGGCCATCATCGGCGAAACGATCTTCATCGTCTCCTGCGTCTGCGAAGGCCACGCCACATACTGCTTATCCCTGCTGCCCTGCCATGCCCTCCCCGCGGCTGGGCTGGCGAGGGAGAAGGCGGAGGAGAGGGATGTAGGACAAGGACAAGGATGTACAAGCAAGAGGAATGGTTCGGGGGCGCGCAAACATGGATTAGCGATCCATGGATTTGGCGCGCGGTCGCCAAATCCATGGATCGGGGGAGGTGCCCTCCCCAAAATGCGGCCGGTGCCGCCTCGTTCGTCGGCGGAAATCAACGATTTCCCATGGAAACGGCACCCGTCGCTAATCCATGCCCCCTTGGTCCATGTTTGCGATCGCCTGGATAGTACAGCGCGGCGGAAAACAAGTTTCTGGAACTTCCGCAGCGCCTCCGATAGTGAAAAGGGGCGGCGCTCGCGTCGCGTGACGCGCGCTCCTGCGCTCGGCATTCGGGGCGGGGCCTGCGCCGTTGGCGCCGTCGCACATCGTCGCCAGGCGAATGGCAAATGACGATGATATGGCGATCATGGTGGCCAATGACGATGATAGTGGCAAATGGCGATGGTAATGGCAAATGACGATGAGAATGGCCAATGACGATGATAATGACAATCGCCATTGTGTTGGTGATCATGGTAGGGGGCTCTATGATGGCCAGGCGTGCGCCATGATGGTCTTGGCCAATGCTCACCATGGCCATCTTCAGCGCGATCGCGGTTGCGGCGTGAACGATCGTCAAGCTAATGATGCCCTCTTGTTTTGCCGTCGATGGGACAAGAAAGTCCGCAGGAGGAAGGAAAGGGAAGGGGACGGAGGAAAGCGGGAGCGTCAACCCCGAATGCTGATCCGCCCCGCTGGCGCTGGCGCCCGCGCGCGCCAGCGCGATCGCGCAGCCTGGGGCCCCAAAACGCAACTGTATATGATCTCAAGGTAACTTGATTTTTGCGTTCAGCGTGGTGAGGGAGATGGGAGGGGGCAAAGATGACAACACATAGAAATATCAACTCTTATCTGAGTGTGACCCCGTGAGGGTCATTGAATCTAGGTACAAGCTAAAAGCTCCATCGCGCAGGCGGCGGAGGCAAAATGAAGAGACGAAGCGGAACAGAACTGGGCCACGACGTAAGGCAAAACTTCGGAGCACACGCGAGGCGCATACCATCGCCAGCACGCGTCAGGGCTGCAATTCGGAAGTGCATCTTCGCCTTGCCATGCTCTTCTCGCCTCTCGCCCCCTCCAATCGAATGACTTGGGAGGGGACCCACCGCGCGCAGGTGCTGGCCGAAACCATTCGATGGCCCAAGAAGCCCAAAGAAGCCCCAAGAGAGCCAAAACAGGCAACAAATATTGATGTTCCTTGTGCTTTTCGATGTGTTCCGCGTTCTCGCGTTTTCGGGCTTCCGATGCTCCAAGATGGCCCCCGAAGCTCCCAAGGCAGCCCCAAGACGGCTGGAAATGCCCCCAAGAGGGCCCCAAGACGGTCCAAGAGGGCCCCCAAACGACCCCAGAGGCGCCCAAGAGGGCCCCTAGACGGCCCCAAGACGGCCCCCCAAAAAGAAGGCCCCACGAGGCCCCCAAGAGACCCAAAAAGAGGCCCCAAGTGAGAAGCCCCAAGAGGCCACGAACGCGCAAGCAAACGCCTGCGATGGCACAATACGGGCAGGCGGAATGAGCGAAACAATTTTAGATGTCTCACATTTCTAAATCATAGAATGGTTTGTTCCGAAGCCGATTTGTGTATCTACATCATACGAAATGATACGTATGCTGCTCCAGGGCAAGCACGCACGCCAATGCGTGGAAAAAGCTGGCGTGCGGAGGCTGACCATGTACGTGCGCATGTCTCTGAATTCCTGACCGTCAGCGGCAACTCAGGAGGTAACTCCTCGGAGGCCTTCGTAATTAGGACTATTAAGCCCGATCGGGGGGCCACTAAGTTGAAACAAGCTGGGTTAAGCCCATTACTAAGCCATATTAAAACGGGACTAAGCTGGGTGATCAAGGACTATGCAGGAACAGTGAGCCCATTTTCGACCACGGATGTATTAGCGCCGATACTGAATTCGAACTCCCAGGAAATGCATCCTAAGCAAATATACCAATCGTTGTCCGATCGATTGTGGCACTGTCAACGATTATGTACGACGGCCTATCGACCGACGTGTACATCCATCGATGTCATGGCCAGTAAAACTGGCCCACCAGACTGCCTGGCGCTCGCGCAGCACGGAGTCAGTCCTGGTGCTCGCGCGCGCCCGCGGGCGCGCCAGCCGCCGCCGCGCGCATCCGCAGCGGCGCGCCCCCCTTGACGGCGACAACCTCGAACAGCTTCCAAGAGTGGGCGTGGAGCCACCTTAGCGACGAACAGAAGCGGGTCTTACGCGAGATGGCATAGCGACCTTACGCGGCGGCTTACGCGGGCCGCCAGCGCGGCACGCAACATTGGAGACGAGGGCGCTTACGCGCGACCTTACACGGGCAGCTTACGCGCGAACGTCGGTGAAGACGATCTTTCGTCGCTCACCTGGTGGGCCGCACCAGCAGCGGCGTCGAGACGACCTGGGAGGACGCCAACTATACATGCAGCGGGGCGCCGCAGGTGGAGGGGTGGGCGGCCTTCGAAGGAGGCAGGAGGCCGACTGAGCGTGGATCGCAGGGATTCTCAGAAGACTTCTTTCTCGGAGGGCAGGAGGGCTTCCAAGAAGCCGCGCCGTCCCCCCCTGTGCGCAGACGATCAACGCCTGCACCGATCCTGGCCAGACTGATCCAGGGCCTCAGGGCCGGCGCATACACGCCCTCCTGGCTTGGCCGAGGAGACATCTTATGATGACCTCGACGGCCCTGGACCCAGGAGCGGGCCAGGCTAGAGCCGGTGCAGGCGGAGGGTTGGCGTCCTCCGGCGGCCGTCTCATACCTCCAGGGCTCTTCTGCGGTGATCCTGACCCTCGCCTGATCGCCGGCGTGGGACCCGTCGCCGCGAGGGGAGGTTCGCGATGGCCGGGGGCACCCCGTGTGGCAGCGGAGCGGGCAGCAGTCCCGCTGGCAGAGGCAGGTCCTGATGCACGCATCGTGGCGGCAGTGGCCACAGGTGAGCTCCGCGGAAAAAACGAAGTGGAAAAGACACCCGAACACTGGAGTATAATCTCGGCAAAGAGCTGCCCAGAAGCAGTATCCAGTTCTCTGGGCGTGAAGTTCTCGCGCACGATGTCGAGCCCAAGACGGCAGGTTCCAAACAACATGCGCGAGCGAGCCTTGGGATTGGACGAGGCGCCGCATATACCACCCAACCACTCCCGCTCGTCGGGCAGGCAGATGCAGCACGACCCACCGCAAGTCTGCGGGAGGCGCCGCGTCCACGTTGGTGCCGATCACGTCGAGCTCCCGACACGGCCGCCCCCTGCTGCGCGGGCCACACCCCCCGCGCGCAGAGCCGAGCGTCAACGACAGCGTACCAACGGCGCGTGCGCGACGCTCGCGCCCACGAGGGCCTTCCGCGCCAGCGCGACCCACCCGAGCAGGCGGAGACCGTGACTGCCTACCAGACCACCCCAACCCAACCCGAAGACCCGAACTTCGGGTTGGGGGGGGTACGGGCTTCATGTGCGTGTTTTCGCAACGTCCCCCGATCCCCCCCCCCAACTGGAAATGGAGAGCAAGTTGGGGGCCTTCGGGTTGGGTTGGGGTGGTCTGGTGGGCGGTGAGACCGGGGGGGAGCAGCTCGGAGCACAGAGCCGCGCTGTCGGAGCGCTTGCAGCGGTTCACCCGGATGTGCTGGAGAACGAACCACGGCACGGCCAGGAGCAGGACGATGAGGCCGTCGCGGGCGCCCGGCAGCGCCGCGACGGGCAGCTCGGCCTACCTGTGGAGGGCCTGCCGCAGGTGCGGCGAGCGCCTCGGCAGCAGCGCAGCCTCCAGGAGGACCAGCAGCGTTCCCGCCGTCATCTCCGGGGGCACGACCAGAGACAGCCGCAACCGGGTGGCCCTCCAGACCGCTGGGCGGAGATCGTGTCCGTGAGGGAGAGCCGCCGACGCCGCCCATGGCGAGCGCAGCCGCTGCAAGCAGGCCATGTTGGCGTCTACGGCCCTCATGTTCAGCGAGGCGGAGGGGGGGGCTTGAGCAAAGCATGATTGCGGGGGTGGAGGAGGGGCAGCGGAAGGATGAGCAAGTGGACGGGAGAGGGACTATCCAAGGGGGAGGGGGAGCGGGGGGAGAAGAGGTAGGAATGACAGAAAGGCGAAGAAGGAAGGAGGAGGAAGGAAGGAGGAGGCAAAGGCAGGAGCAAAGGCGCATAGGAGGAAGAGATGGTATGGGATGGGATCAATGACGCAGTCATACTAAACAACATTTTCAAAAACAAAACAACAAAAAAAAAAAACACTGCCAGGGCATATGCAGTGTGTTGGGAGAGACCTAGTGCACCTCGGAGGAGGAGGAGGAGGACTAGGGCTGAGGATAATGGGGTATGAGGTGAATAATGGCAGGAGAAGGAGCTGGGAAAGGACGTGAATACCTTAGACATCTCGGCGCTTTCGGGTCAAAACACAGGGTCTCGCCCAAGCGAGACTGGAACGGACGTCGAAGCCGTGCGTGCATGTGCAAATCCAGAGAATGGACATGGAGGGGACGGGGGGGCATGATTAAGGGTAGAAGGAAGTCGCTGTTGGGCGTTGCTTAATGGGGGGGTCACAAATGGGGGGGTCAGAAACGGTCCCCTTTCGTGCCCCTTTCGGGCCCCTCTGGACCCCCAGGGGGCTCGTTTAGGTACCGTTTGGGTACCTTTTCGGACCACCCTCGCCACCCCCCCATTTATGACCCCCCCATCACGCAACGCCCAACGCTGGAAATCCCAAGAAGTCTCCGGATGTCCCGATGTCCCCATGCAGGGATCCACGACGATCCCTGGAGGTCTCAGGAGGTCTCTGGACATCTCCAGGGAGAGAGATGGAGGGATGAGGAATGAGGATGAGAAGGGAGAAGGAGCAGGATGATGGTGGGGGACGGAGGAGGAGAATGTGGAGTAGCCCTTGATCCTTGAGCTTATCTCGAAGGGTCGACCTGCTGATCGCGCGCAACTATGGACCCTCAGCCGACACCGTGAGATGGGACGATTGGATGCACTGTGGACGTACAGCACCGTGGCTGGCCCCCAACAGGGCGGCGGTCGAATTACGAGCCCAACTCCATGCAGATGTGTGGGGAGTGGTTCAAACGAAAGGGAGGGTCGGGAATTCGGAGAAATGCGACGAGGAGCGACAGGAGGCGGGACGCACACGGAGGTTCCGCAGGGGGGGGTGAGGCAGCGAGGGAGGAGGAGGAAGAGGAGGAGGAGGAGGAGGAGGAGGAGGAGGAGAGAAGGAGAGGAGGAGGAGGAGGAGGAGGAGGAGGAGGAGGAGAGGAGGAGGAGGAGGAGGGGAGGAGGAGGGAGGAGGAGGAGGAGGATCGCCTGACTCAGTTGGGCAGTCCACTGGAGCACGTGTGGCCCAGGACCGACCCGCGAATATAGAGTGGCATGCATGCGATGCGCCGGCAGGGGGATGCTCGTTGCAGAGTCAGCTTGCCCAACGTCCTCCTCGCCCTCTCCCTCCCGCTGGCCCCCGCCCACGCCCCTCCTCCACACGTTCCCCATCCCTCCCCCTTAACGCCCATTCCTCCTTCCCTCCGCATCCCCCCCAATCCCCAGTCGTGTGGACTGTCAACTGATCTCCAAATCAGCTGACCTTTAGCTCGGAGGTCGAGAAAAACAGTGGCAACAATGCAATGCCTGTGTTGCTGTAGCTGCAATGCGCCCGTTGTGCGCCTCGAAGTTCGTAGGAATTCAACAAGTTTTGAAAAGGAAACGGAAGCGGATAGTATAGGAAGATGGGGGCAGAGGAAGATATGAGTACGGGAACTCAACACGACACTAGCTTGCGGAGGGAAACGACCCCCTCCCCTGGCGAGAGCGGCCCTCCCGCTTCGTGGCTGGTCCCATCCTGTGTGCGGTTCGCCTGATTCCCAGCTTCACTTCGAGGCGAAAGTGGGTTGGAGCATCATATAAAGCCAGGGGAGGCCGAGCCTGCCTGAAGTCGGGCATGCTCCTCTCCAGGAGAAGCGCTCCAAGATGGTCAAGACATGGTCTGGGGCGACGTCTTGACAACTCTTGACCGTGTGTGGGGCACTCTTGACTTGTCATCCAAGCTCCGCCTGTGGGGGGGCACGCCGCCGACCCGAGCCCTGGGCCGCCCGCGTCGGCGCCAGCGGCTGCCGCGCGAGCGGCCTGCGGGGCGGGGGAACGGAGGGCGGCTCGCGCGCCCCGGAGCGGGAGGCGCAGCAGGCCTTCAGCGGTGCAGGGCGGTGCGCCTGGCCGCCTCGCGCCGCGGATGCCGCAGCGGGCGGTGCGGGAAGGCGAAGAAGGAGAAGGAGTTGAGGCGGGCCTGCCCCCCAACAGGGGGACAGTTCGAGGAAAAAATTGTCAAACATAGTCAAACATGGTTTTAAAAAAAACATAGCCAAATAATCGCCCCCTGACTATCTTTTTGGGACTATTGCTGAGCACTCCTCCTGTAGAGGGGCAGGCCCGACTTGAGAGAAGCAGCCAGCCAGAGAAGGACTCCTGAAAGTTCCAGGGGGGGGGGGGGGGGGGGCGAGCACTCGCCCGAGGGCCTGCGTCGCAGGCCGCCCGCGGCGGGGCAGAGGCGCCGAGCTCGAGGGCCGAAAGCTTCGGCGCCGCGGGCAGCCCCGACGGCGACGGCAACGGAAGCGAGGACGGCCGCACCCTTCGGCTGGCAGGCCGTGAGCACGTGACCGACAACAGGGCTGGACCGAAACGGTGCTTGCCGTTGTCGTTGTGTGCTCGTTCTCCCTCGTTTTGTCTTCCAGCCGCCTCCAGCGCAGAGCGACATCGAGGCGAGAGCGGCCCACGAGATCGCCAGAACACCGTTTAGGCCCGCCCCTGACCGACAAGGAGGAACAGGCTCGGCATGTTGGAAGACGCATGCATCGACCGCACCACCGCCCAGACGACGAAGAGCTCCGCGCGCGAGCCGCTCGTGGAGTGCAGCGCGGAGAACCTGAGGTGCGAGACCAAACAGGGGAGGAGGAGGAGGAGGAGGAGGAGGAGGAGGAGGAGGAGGAGGAGGAGGAGGAGGAGGGGGAGGAGGAGGGGGAGGAGGAGGAGGAGGAGGAGGAGGAGGAGGAGGAGGGAGGAGGAGGGAGGAGGGGGAGGAGGGGAGGAGGGGGGGGAGGAGGAGGGGTCAGGCTCCAATCTGCCCCCTGGTGTGGTCTGCGGCCACGGCGGGCGGAACCCGCCGCGACGGCCAGCTCGGCCCCAGGGAGAGCGGCGGCAGCCTCCGCCTCTCCCAGGGCGCCGCCGGCAGTGCCCGGGGAGCAGACCGAGTCCGCGAGGTCCGGCGCGCACGCGGACCAGGGCGAGGGCGTGCAGGAGTCCTCCTCCTCCTCCTCCTCCTCCTCCTCCTCCTCCTCCTCCTCCTCCTCCTCCTCCTCCCTGCTCTCGCTGAGGCGCCGGCATCATTTTCGGGCCCTGCTCGTTCCGAATCGTGCTCCCGCTGCAGCGCTGGCCTCATTTCCGCCGGCGCCCGGGCTGCACGCCCGAGCCGGCGCCCGAGCCGGCGCCCGGGCCGACGCTCGGGCCGCCAACCGCGCGAGGCTGGAGCAGGTTGGCGCGGGGCCAGCAGCGAGAAGCCCTTCGGCACCTCCGAGGAGCCCGTCCAGGGTCTCCTCAGCGAGGAGGCGCTGCAGCAGAGCGGGGTCGTTGGCGTGAACTGCGAGTCCGTGGCAGCGGGCACGGTGACGGCGCGCGTCGGCGGCCAGCAGGTGAAGGACAGCTCGGAGAGCGGCATCAACGTGGAGAACGTGGAGTTCTGCAAGAAGGATGCCAAGCGTAAGAAGCGGGGCAAGCAGGCGGCGCAGCAGTCAGACATCCTGGAGATGCCCAGCAGCGCGGGCTCGTCGGGCGAGCGGTTCGACTCGACCACTATCGAATCCATCAAGGTGCAGTTGCTGAACGGTGTGCTCGCGAAGCTGGGCCTCGACAGCGTCCGACGTCGGCCAGGCGAGCCTCGGCTCGGTGCTCAAGGACCTCTGGCCACCGGAGCGGGGCGCGGTCCTGGAAAGGCTGGGCGAGGCGCTCGGGGAGAGCGACGAGGACAGTGATCTGGCCGAGGCACTCGGCGGGGACCAAGATCAAGACCCCTGAGGCCGTGGTCTGAGTGTTGGGGCTCTGGGGAGGGCGGTCTCTCC